CATATTCCTCTTTTTCCCATGGAAAACTCTACAGACATGCACTTCTGATGGAATTTTAGTATGTGCTCATACTAACAGGTTTTCTCACAGGAAAATCTGATCAGAATGTACTCCAGTTTATGTATAATAAATCTTGCAGTACCAGCAAGATCCATTTTTATTTSGTGTATTAAACATACAGAATTAATGTCACAAGAGGGCATGATATTCTAATGAGTTTTTCRTTTCTAGAGAGAAATATAAAAAGTGGAAGTAGCCACACAGCTGCAAAATTAGTAAGTAATTATTAATTACTAATTTTGAAGCCACATTCTGTGACACATCTGACAGAAATGGAGAGTATTTTTTATTACTAAAGTTTTATCAGTCATTATTCAAAAAAAAAAAAAAAAAAAAAAGAAAAAAAAGAAAAAAAAAAAGATAGTGCAAATTTTGGTTCCAAAGCATAACTTACAATTCTCTTATTTCCAGGCTTACACACCGCACAGTACCACCACAGTATACGAACTTAGGTTTTGAAAACAAATTCGATTTCTGCTCCTAACATGCATAGCTAACATGATATAGCTATTATGATGTCTTCTAATACCGTAACACTAAGCAAAACRCATTTGTGTTCATGTCAGACATGATCACAAAAGGGGATCTCCATCAATAAGTGACCATACAAAAAAACCTGRCCAATTTGTAGCATAGAGGAAATCCTGTCCTCACAGATATCAGCAGCGAAATCTAACTGATGTTGATATTGGGAGTTGTATCACATTGTTTTTGCCATTGTGAACAATACAGCCAAAAGAAATAAGTATTTTCTAGCATGCTTCAGAGGTGAAATGTAAGTTTCTTCTACCACTAATGATTAAAAAAAAAAATTAAAATCACCAGCGAAACTTAAATTCCACCTCCTTTCCTCAGCTCAGATGATGATCTGGTAGGAAAGGTAAGGAGGACTTTCCTGTGAGTCCTGTTCCTTCCTAGATATCCTGACAACACAGGAAAGATGCATTTTTACTGTAAAGTTGTGTGTGCATTTCTTTGTTCCCCATTTTCTTTTGCCTAAAGCTGCAGACAAAACATAGAATATGGACTTGAGCAGGACTTTTGAACAAGGGTATAAAGCTTCACATAATTTGCAAAGAAATCTTAATAAAAAAAGAAAATAAAATAGGCCAATTTATCCCTTAGATACAGACAYGCAATCACATGAATCAGGATTCATGCACATACCTATTTTAAATTATTCCCAAAGGATGCATTCTCTCTCTCTCATCCTCTGTACAACTCCTCCGAAGTCAGTAACACAGATCCTGGCTCTGCACTTCCAAAATACAGCCATGAGCACATCCTTCATTTACCTCAGTTCATGCATGCAATCTTATGAGCAGTTAATGTCTTTGATGCCAGCATACAATGAAGAAAATACTTCTCACAACTGATCCTAATGTAGGGTGTTATTCCATAATGYATAGTTGATGCTTTTTGTACCCATGAGGCTTTCCTTTTCTTTATTAGACTAGGCTGAATATTGTAGACACACCCTCATTTTATGTCCTTCACCAGAAGAGCAGAAGGCAAAAATCCCATTGATTTAAGACCTGAGGCTGAATTAGCAATCCCAGTGCTTTAGGAATTCATTTACAGAAGGAGGTTATATGGTCTTTAAGGAAAAAAGAGAAAGGAATACAAAACACACTGAATTCGTATTATGTGTACTCCAGAAGGACCTTTTAGTTCTTTTTTTTTTTTTTTTTTTTTTTTTTTTTTTTTTTTTTTTTTTTTTGTAAGTTGACTTTACACTCTATAGCCAAAGGGTAAATTAATTGTCCCAAAGGATCCAAACCAAATGATGGAACCACTTATCCATTTTTTTGTAAGTCCAAAGCATTAATATGTGAGTTGATGTTGGAAACTCTCAGGGAGCCAATATCCACCACAATTCCCAAAAGGAAAGGTAATACAATGCCTTTTCTTGTTGCATCACATTTTAAAGCGAAGGCAAGGCCTCAGCTTCTTGGCAATACTTTCCAGCTTTTTCAAGGGAACATCACATGTTCAAGAATATTCACCAGTTACGGGCCAGAAAACTTGGCCAGGGTGTAGACTTGGAGACTTCGCTAAAAACAATCAGCAGCAATAAAACAATTATGCGTAATATTYAATGCCATATACCGCTTGACGATGGGAACTTGCTTAACTGAGGTGGCAGTGCCAGCTTTCTCTTCACACTCCCCCTCTGTGATCCCTGAGGCAGTCCACTCTCTTATCCACCCACTGTCTGCAGCTTCCTGGCTTCCCAAAGCTAAATAAGTTCAACTCAAACACAGGTGGCAAAAAACAAAGACTGTGAGTCACAAATAGAAAGTATCCAAATATCAATGCATTTTCCCTGACTTGAGGAAAAAAAGGAGTTACATTACAAGAGCTAGCTCACATTCRCTACAAAATTCAGCACCCTTCCTAAACCTTAAACTGTCCTGAGTGCTTTGCTCCTACATTAGGAGCTGCTATTCCCCTATGTRCATGTGTTTTTACCAAACAGAAACTCACAATTTTATTCCGTTCTCCTGCACAGGTATGTTCTGGCTTGCATACTTGTATGAACAAGTGATTCTTTCATTATACACTGCAGTTCCCCCCAGATACCTTCCCATTCTCACCCAAAGCAAGCCTTTGCAAGACTACAGCAGCTGCAAGGGTATGAAACCTCAGTGCAGATGGCTCCCATCTTGCAGATCACACCATAGCATCCAGCAGGATACCTGTTTCTTTCTTGAATAGAGCTCCTATAAGGATGATGCTAAGGAAGGAGAAAACATTTCTGTCTGAGATCATTTAAAGTAGATTCCACAGAAACCTGTGGATTATATGATTCATGCACTAACTTATTCAAGCACTTTAATTTAGTTGAAACAAGAAAAAAAATTTACATCAAATTCTGCCTTAAGAGTCCAGACCCCAGGGTGTACAAAAAGCTAGGTACATCCAAGAGACAAAGCTGGATCCCCATCACAAAGCCAGGTGCAGCTGCTCACGGAGCAGCAATAATGCAGGGCACAGACTAATTTCTCCCCCTCCAGCAAACCTGTATCTTCCACAGACAAACAAGGAAGGCCATCAACTACCAGGATAGACCACGGTATGTCCAGCTCTGTATTTCTGCATGAGTGGTGTCTTCTCATGTATTGCAGCACTCAGCGTATAGCTTATAAAATATTTCTAATGATAGCAGGACATTTGTGAAAATGCAGCTCAGCTCAAAGCACAGCAGACCATGCAGTAGTGAGCTCCTGATGAAGGCAGTATGTTGTGTGAAGAAGAGAATCATGCTTTCAGCATACTTAAACTAAGCCACCTTCCAAAGGACCCCAGTCAATCCCCTTGTACACAATAGAATTTTCTTGATTGAAGCATCTTATGTTTGCAAGAACAAGGCTGTAGCATCTAATACCACATACCAGGCAGGTTGGGAAAGCAGTCTTTGCCCCTGAGGCCATGAGATAGAAGGGCTGTAGGGAGGCAAACACTATGAACTGCTCTCTTCACATTTACACACAAATATGAGAAATATAATCCCCAGATGTATTTCTGTATTACATGAAATCAAATCCTGACCTTTTAAACAAGTCTGATATTTCAACTATTCGCCCATTTGGATGACGTGGACAGTCATTCATTACAAGAACTGCAAGAGATAATCCGCTCCGAAGTTGCTCATGCAGTACTATGGTTTGTCTTTAGTGCAGTCATGACACAACTGGATGTGAATCAAAAAGGGCTTCATTCTGCAAATAACATACAAAGAAATACGTTATGGCATAGAGGAAACACGGAAATTCAAAGATACTTGATGGAGGAATCGTCCACGTTACTGGAAAAGAATTAAGGTATTAGGCTAATAAATCAAGACTTTATTTCCAAGGACAGCAACCAGCTTTTACATCATTTTTGGACAGAGCTGCTTGCTGAGGTTTGTATCTGCACTACAGTACTAAAAGCACAGCATACAGTACCATCATAAATGAGCAAGTCTATAAAACACTTTTTTTAAAAAAGCACTGGATTTTAGAAAGCACAATTTCGAATTCTGGAGTGCCGTGTACACACTCAACTTTGCATTTTACCAGCCCTTTTTTTTTTATCTATAGCTCACCAAGACATAATTGGATGCGCAAAATCCTCTAAACGTGGATTAAAACTACCATTTCTCCTCCTGAAAATAGAAGGCTACCCTTGTAATTACACGAAATTACATGACTTTGGCATATCGTTTTGTGGAATAACTAATTAACTACGATCCTCTGATCGGATAATGCAGAAGTGCTTTTCTTCCTCGAGAGCTGCGCCTGCTTCGTTTTAAATCAAGTTCCGCTACAGAGGGAGGGGAAACCGCACGAACACGCGAGCATGTGCGATGGGGCGACGGGCACCGCGTGCAAGGGACGCTTCTTCAGAGGCAGCCAGGGCGCAACGCGGCTTTCGGCACGCCTTGCCGTGGCGCTCGGACCGGGAGAGCCTCCCCGCGGCTGAGGCGTCGGGGAGAAGCAGGGGAAACAAAGCCGCCGCTGCCGCCGCGCCTCTGGACCCTCTCCCGCCGGGACCGCCGCGCTCCGCCGCCCCGGTGCGGAGTCTGGCAGCCGGGTCGCACCCTGCCCGTGCCCGTGCCCGTCCCCGCCCCGC